CAAGGAAAGATATAAAGTGTGGTAGTGTGACCGTGCATGCCTAGGAAAAGTTCTGAAAAGGAAAGACTTGGTATTTAAGTGTGTCTATTAGTGACTCACCTCTCTTTCCTGGGAGCTACTTGGTGTACTAGTTCATAGTGAAAGGTGCATAAGTCGATTGAAACCATGATAACAAAATATGAGATAGAGAAGTTTAATGGAAATAGTTTCTAATTGCGAAAATTGAAGATGAAAGCAATTTTTGTGGGCTTCACAAATTAAAGGTGGAAAGAAATTAACAACAACGCTATAACAAATTTATGGAGAAGGGTACATCGAAGGAGATTTTAGAATCCCTCGTCAAATTGTATCCGGAGAAACACATATTGGAATTGGTTTATTATGATGTGTTGAAATCGTCGGTATTATCCTGTGTTTTCAAAGTTTGGAAAAGACAAATTATTGAACTATGTTAACAATGTGAATGGGTATTTCCTGTGGATCCCACTATCCACAAGGTTATTGTTAGTAGTGATACAAATATTATTTTTCTTCAAGATGAACTTAGAGAAAGGATTGGATTGCTCCAACCAAAAGACTTAAAGAATAAGGAAACTTAGTTTGCTAGTTGTCCAAATCTCTGTATGGTTTAAATTGGGTGTCCAGGTGTATAAGAGATTTGATTCTTCATGATTAGCCTTAATTACAATAGAATAAATTTAGACTATTGTACCTATTACAATAAATTTTATGAGAATGATTTTATCATTTTGTTGTTGTATTTGGATGACATGTTGGTGGTAAGCTCCAACAAAGTTCGAATCCAGATTTTGAAGGCACAGTTGATTAGGAAATTTGATATAAAGAACTAGGAACCAACAAACAAGATTTTAGGGATGCAAATTCACCTAAACATAAAAGATAGGAAGGTTTGACTTTATCAAAAGAATTACTTACTGAAGGTCTTGTAGTCTTTAACATGCAAGGGTGTAAGCCAGTTTTTACCCCATTTTCTATCAAGTTATCACTAGTGCAAAAAGGGGCTTTTACATCAGGTATTTAGGGCTTTTTACGTCGAATTTCAGACTGACGTTAAAACGGGAGACGTAAATTTACGTCAGACCCTTTAGCCCGACGTAAATTTACGTCAGTTATCAAGACCCAACGTAATTTTGCGTTGCATATACCATTAAACAGACGTAAAAACTTTTATAAATTAAAAAAAAAAACAGAAAATTTACGTCGCATATGGTATATGCGACGTAAATTTGCTGTTTTTTTTAAATTGGGTTGATTTTGTTTTACAACTAAAACCTGCAAATAACCAGACAGTCCAGAGGTTCAATTTTCTTTAGCTAGTAAATTAAAAATATAATATTATATAATTCAAACTACATAATAAAACAATATAATACAAACATACAAACTAAAAAATCTATTACAAACTAAAAGTTAATACAAACTAAGCTACCTAAACTACATAATACACACAATATAATATAAACAAGAGCTTAAAAAATTATGTACTAGAATTATTGAACAAAAAATTTTGCCCATTGTTCTCTAATTTGTGTAATATCAGATTCTGGTAATGAAGATGGATCTTGAAATACTTGAAACATTAATTTGACTCTTATAAACGTGCAACATGAATAAAGTTAAATAAGCCTAACTAATGTTAAAAGCAATTACCTCCGTCCAAGAATCAATTATACCCGCACAAACTATGACTCTCATCCAATACATAACATAGTAACCACATTCAAACGAGTCTGTTTGCTTATTACACTCGAAATGATAAAAAAACATAATTTTATTTTCAAAATTTAAATACAAACAATAATTATGGTATTTACTTATATAAATAAGTTTCTAACCTTAGGATAAATGAACTGCAAAGTCTTTGTTCTAGGTTTTCCACTTAGAACATTAGTTCCATACACGATTCTAAGTGAAAAAAGTCATATATTATTCAATATGTATTTACAATTTAAAAACATAATTAATGAATAAAAGATAAAGTTACCCTTGTAATAAGCTTTTCATTTCTTGACTCTGGTTTCGATGCAATGAACAAAATCACACGACAGATGTAATCCCGGGTATGATTACAATTAATTGCCAATGGGACCTACATTGTATGACATAAAAATTAGTTACAAAAATATAAATTAAAATACTAACCCTTCAATGTATGGAGCCAAATATATATGTCTTTTTGAGTCACTCATCCATGTTTGCATATATTGTTGGATTCCAACCTTTGTATTACCAGCATTTTTGGATGGATTGAGGCTCAATAAATCCAGTATACTTCGATTTTTCTTGTTCCAGATTCAACTTGTCAATGTACCTAAAATAATTAATTATAAGTTGAATATAATTATTATAATCTTAGAAACATAAATGAGAATGACTTACATTGCCCACAATTGTATGATGGAAATGTTTAACATGCAATTTCCTCCAAGCAATTTCTAAAGCATCTGGAAAGGAAATGTATAATGAAACACTCGGAATT